TAGGTTCTGCTGAAGCAATGGTGGTTGCTGTTGAAGTCGTGGGTTCTGTTGAAGTGATGGTGGTGGCTGTCAAGGTTGTGGGTTCTGTTGAAGTGATGATGGTAGCTAATGTTGTAAGTTCTGTTGAAGCAATGGTGGTGGCTGTTGAGGTTATAGGGACAGTTGAAGTGATGGTGGTGACTGATGTGCTTGTAGGTTCTGCTGAAGCAATATTGGTGGCTGTCGAAGTTGTGGGTTCAGTTGAAGCGATGGTGGTGGCTGATGTGGTTGTGGGTTCTGCTGAAGCAATAGTGGTGGCTGTCGAAGTTGTGGGTTCAGTTGAAGCGATGGTGGTGGCTGTCAAGGTTGTGGGTTCTGCTGAAGCAATAGTGGTGGCTGTCGAAGTTGTGGGTTCAGTTGAAGCGATGGTGGTGGCTGTCAAGGTTGTGGGTTCTGTTGAAGTGATGATGGTAGCTAATGTAAGTTCTGTTGAAGCAATGGTGGTGGCTGTCGAGGTTATAGGTTCAGTTGAAGCACTGGTGGTGGCTGATGTGGTTGTAGGTTCTGCTGAAGCAATATTGGTGGCTGTTGAAGTTGTGGGTTCAGTTGAAGCGCTGGTGGTGGCTGATGTGGTTGTAGGTTCTGCTGAAGCAATACTGGTGGCTGTCGAAGTTGTGGGTTCAGTTGAAGCGATGGTGGTGGCTGATGTGGTTGTAGGTTCTGCTGAAGCAATGGTGGTGGCTGATGTGGTTATAGGTTCTGTTGAAGCGATGGTGGTGGCTGTCGAGGTTTTGGGTTCAGTTGAAGCGATGGTGGTGGCTGATGTGGTTGTAGGTTCTGCTGAAGCAATAGTGGTGGCTGTTGAGGTTGTGGGTTCTGATGAAGCGATGGTGGTGGCTGTCGAGGTTGTGGGTTCAGTTGAAGCGATGGTGATGGCTGACGTGATTGTGGGTTCTGCTGAAGCAATGGTGGTGGTTGTCATGTGTGTGGGTTTGGTTGATGCAATAGTGATGGATGCTGTGGTTGTAGGTTCTGTTGAAGTGCTGGTGATGGATATTGAGGTTGAGGGTTCAGGTAAAGCAATAGTGATGGTTGTTGTGTTTGTAGGTCCCGTTGAAGCAATGGTGGTAGCTGTTGAGGCTGTGGGTTCATTTGAAGAAACGGTGATGGCTGATGTGGTTGTAGGTTCTGTTGAAGTAACCACAGTGGCTGTTGAGGTTGTAGGTTCAGTTGAAGTGATAGTGATGGCTTGTGAGGTTGTGGGATCAGTTGAAATGATGGTGATGGCCGATGTGGTTGTAGGTTCAATGGGCATTGCAGTGGTTTTAGATTCTGTTGAAGTGGTTTTTGATGTGGGTTCAGTTGACATGGTGGTTCCTTCAGGTTGTGAAGTAGTAGAGGTCATTCCAGGAATGTTAAGTATAGGCTCCTCATTGTTTGCAGGTAGCTTGTTAGTATTGGAAGGATTGTCATTTTCTCTATTGTTCACCAGGCATATTATGAGCACTCCAATTGCTGTTGTTATCACACAGGCTAAGAGGCAAGCCAAAAAGACTTTCCACAGAGACAAGTTATTACACCAATTTCTTTTTGCCTAAGAAGAGTATAAATGACAATACCAGTTATAAAAATTCCTGTGATTTTCATCTCTTTTGTGTTATTTATACTTAGTGCATTAACATGATTTCAATCCCTATATATATCTAAAGAAATTTAGGCTTATAGTCCAAGTTTTTATCCAGGTGAAAGTAAGTGCTTACTTTCTTTAACATTAGAAGAAATCAGAATCTACCAATTTCTCATCTTCTTTTATTGGAAAATATTCCAACAATGGAAAGTGAGAGCTTTGTCTTTTCACATAGGCAGAACAGCACTTGAATGGTAAATTCTCTGTCACACACTAATCCTCTAATGGATATTATAATTACCCCAATAAAAACTATAATTTTTTAATTTAATAAAAACTGTTTTATTACCCCAAAATGTTCCACTTCCAAAATCACTTCCTCAAGAATCCTATGCTCTTACCACTATCTCCTCTCCTTCCAGCTTATTTATTCAATTATCCCTATAGCAACCTTTTTTAAGTCATGTTAAAAATTATTGGCCCAGCAGAACTTGCTTTACTCAATACCTCCTTATCCACCTTTTGTTCATGGTTCATTATTTCAATAAAACTAACCCCCTAAAATCTCTTGTACTTCTCTCCTCCCTTCCTCCAACTGGCAAATAAATGACTGCTTTCTCTGGACTTGCCCTTGAGTAACCACAGTCAGGGAAAGTCAAGTACCTGGGCAAATCAGATTCAAGATAAATGTATGGTCACCATCCTTGAATGGATCTTCTGGACTGTTCCATCATCCTATTATATTTCCCTAAGATATACTCTCATTTTATAAATCTTTCTCAATCTTCTCTCTCTTCAAACACGTAACCTCCACCCACCAACCCTTACAAATTGACCCACCTCATTCCCATCAAATGACTTCACCTCCTTTCTACCTCACTGGAAAACTTGAAGCCATCAAATGGAAACTCTTGCAAAGCCCCACAGGTATCACACCTGCAAACCTAAGCATGCCTGGGCTCTACCTCTCTTCCTTCACTGACTGACACAGAGGATCTAGCCCTCTTTCTGCCGGAAGTGGATCTGCCTATCTGCCCTTGGATCTCATCCCCCATATCCTTCTCAGCAACTTTTCTCTTTTTTCATTCTTCCTCTGGGACTAAATACTTCACCACTTTCCTCTTAAATGGATTTTTTCCTTTTAACATCTATATGCACTCAAATCTCTTCCATTTTAAACAAAAAACCCTCCTTCGATTCCAAATACCCCTCTAGCTACTTCCCTTTCTCTCTCTCCGTTAAATGAAATTTCTTGAGTTGTCTAAATGCAACATCTCCATTTGCACACTTTTCAACCCAATTCTGTCTGGCTTTGGCCTCTGCCATGCCACTGAAACACCTCTTACTAAAATCACATGTGACATTTATTCATTCAGATCTAATTCACATATTTTAGCTCTCACCATACTCAACCCCTCAGTAGCAGTTGCCTCTGAAGACCATCCCTCCTCCTTTTTGAACAGTCTCCTCCCTTGGCTTTTGTGATATTCCATTTTCATTGATTTCCTCCTAACCACACCACCCCCCCACACACACACAAATCTTCCCAGTTTCTTTTAGATGCTCACTATCTACATTCAGCTTTAGAGATGACATTCCCAGGTTTAGGGTCAGCAAACTTTTTCTGTAAAGGAAAAGGTAGTAAATAGTTTCAGCTTTGTGAGCCATACAGTTTTGGTCACAACAACTCCAACCTACCATTATAGTCTTCAAGCAGCCATAGACATTGAGTAAGCAAGTGAGCATGACTGTATTCCAATACCATTTTATTTACAAAAATAGGCAGTGGACTGGATTTGACCATTCTATGCTTCCTCTTTCCTATGATTTTAATTACTATCCATATATAAATGACTCTCTAATTTATCTCCAGTCCAGCTCTGCACTCTGACCTTCAAATGCTTACATGACACCATATCTTGGATGTCTAAATGATGTCTCAAACTCACTGTGTCCAAACCCAAAACATTATCTTCCCAGTGAAACCTGGCCAGTTCCCACATCTCTTTTTTTTTTATTTTTTTAATGTTTTTAAATTTAGTTTTGAGAGTAAGAGAGAGAGTGCAAGCAGGGGAGGGTCAGAGAGAGAGGGAGATACAGAATCTGAAGACAGGCTCCAGGCTCTGAGCTAGCTGTTAGCACAGAGCCTGACACGCAGCTGGAACCCATGAACCATGAGATCATGACCTGAGCCGAAGTTGGACGCTTAACCAACTGAGCCACCCAGGAGCCCACATCTCTTTAAATGCTAACACCATCCATTACATTCAGTTCCATAAGCTATAACAAAGGGATCATCCTGAAATCTCCCAATCCATTACCAAGCCCTTTAGCTGTATCTGCTAAATATCACCCATATTATTGATTTTCTCTATCTCTGTTGATACCACTCTAGTCCAAGCTTCCTTTATCTTTGCCTTGGACTAGTGAAATAGCCTTGGGTCCTTTCACTCAGTTTCTGCATCATCCTTACATCTAAAGTGGAATCTTGGCACAAATAGTCTGTTGATTGTAAATGCCTCTCTCATCGTCCATTTATCACCCAGAATACAGCACAGACTCATCAGGCACCTATTTTTGCAATAGTGCCCTGTTTTCTCAGTGATTCTGTTATCAGAAGAGGAATTATAAACTCTGAGGCTTTTTTATAATTAGGGTATTTCCAATATTCTAATATATATATACATATATATGTAACTTCCTATCAACCATCAGGTAGGTAGCTGCCTAGCACGTAATATTACCAGACAGACCCAGAGAATCCACCTGAGTACATTATGTCCTTCCCAGGCTTATTACCTGAAAGTGCACAATGAAAAGAGCTCCCTGGTAGTTTTTTAGTGATGTACATTTCAACAAGATAAACCAAAAGCCTGCTTATTTTCTCACTAATCCTCATCATAGATTATGTTATTCACCACCATGATTTAAAAGAAAAACCATGGAATTGCATAACTTCTGGTACTCCCTATTTCATCATTTACAAAATGGAGATAAAACAGCTTGTGAATTACAGAGTTACCTTAAGAATTAACAAAATTAACTTGCGTTGTCAATTCTAAAGTGTTTTTGCAAATATTTGTTGCTTTATTCTTAGGCAACAAAGCAGAGTAGAAGAGTACAGTCTTTTTGATGGGAAAAATGTTATAAAGTTCAGAGCTATGAAATCTTAAACAATTTCTTACCTTCTCTGAGCCTCAGATCCCCTTATCTTAAAATACAGAGTTTAAAATACCTATTTTTCTTTAATGTTTTATTTATTTCTGAGAGAGAGAGAGAGAGACAGCATGAGTGGGGGACAGACAGAGAGAGAGGGAGACACAGAATCAGAAGCAGGCTCCAGGCTCTGTGCTAGCTGTCAGCACAGAGCCCGACGTGGGGCTTGAACCCACGAACTGTGAGATCATGACCTGAGCTGAAGTCGGACGCCCAACTGACTGAGCCACCCAGGTGCCCCTAAAATATCTATTTTATATTCTTGCTGAGAAGATTAGAAATAACATACGTAAAGTCACTAGTTTTCAAAACTATGTTTATTTTGGATGCAGGATAGTATAGAAAATAAAGTTAAGAGCTTTGGAGTCCAACAGATTTGGGGTTGAATTGTAGCTCTGCCACTTATTAGCTATGGACCATTGGTAGCTTTATCTTTCTAAGTCTCAGTTCCCTCAGGGGCGCCTGGGTGGCTTAGTCGGTTAAGCATCTGACTTTCGCTTAGGTCATGATCTCGCGGTTCGTGGGTTTGAGCCCCGCGTCGGGCTCTGTGCTGACTGCCAGCTCAGAGCCTGGAGCCTGTTTCAGTCTGTGACTCCCTCTCTCTCTGACCCTCCTCTGCTCACGCTGTCTCTCTCTCTCTCTCCTAGAAATAAATAAAAACCTTAAAAAAAAATTTTAAAAAAAGTCTCAGTTCCCTCATAAGGGTAATAATACTTAATAACACCTAGAAAGATGAAAACATAAGACAATGTTTATAAAGTGCATGGCACAGTGTCGTGTATGTAAGTTTTCAATTGTCTAACATGACTGATTATTTCATAATCAGCTGGGTGAGAGCAATACCCTCAAAGAATGGGATACAACATACATGCCTTCCATACACACTAGACTAGATTTAAACATTATGCAATATAGGCCACAGTATTTGTTGGAAGGGTGTAAAGGGTTGCACCCCCAAAGCAACAGGAGTAGAATGAAAACATGGGCCACCAAGGCCAAGTTAGCCCCAGAAAAAATAAACCTTTTCTTTACCTTGACTGAAAACATTACAAAGAAGTCTCAAAAGAAAAACGTGGCACATGGAAAGAACCTAAGCGTCCATCAACAGATAAATGGATCAAGAAGATGTGGTTTATCTATACCATGCAATACTCCATGGCAATGAGAAACAATGAAATCTGGCCATGTGTAGCAACATGGATGGACCTTGAGGGTGTTATGCTGAGCGAAATAAGTCAGGCAGAGAAGGACAAATATCGTATGTTTGCATGTTTAGGAGGATTAGGAGGAACTTGACGGAGGACCATGGGGGAGAAGGGGGGAAATGGTGGGGGAAAGGGAGAGAGGCAAACCATGAGAGACTCTTGAATGCTGAGAAAAAACTGAGGACTGATGGATGTGGGGGGGGAGGGGGGATGGGCACGGAGGGGGGCACCTGTGGGGATGAGCACTGGGTGTTATGTGGAAACTAATTTGACAATAAACTATTTGTAAAGAAAAAAAAAAAAGAAAGAAAAACGTGGCAAAAGGGTTCATGCACATCTGGGAGAAGTCTATACTACTTTTAAAAAATTATACAAGGGCAGTTTAATGGAATAAAGTGCACATAACCAGACAATAGGACACCTAAGTTCTTCTTTGTAGGTCACTCTTGGCAAAAACCATGCTAATTGATGCCTGGGCCCCACCC